CTCCTTCTCCACCAGCTTCTCCCCTCCTCCTTCTCCACCAGCTTCTCCCCTCCTCCTTCTCCACCACCTTCTCCCTTCTCCCCCTCCTCCACCAGCTTCTCCCTTCTTCCCCTCCTCCTCCACCAGCTCCTTTCTCCCCCTCCTTCTCCACCAGCTTCTTCCCTCCTCCTTCTCCCCCTCCTCCACCAGCTTCTCCCTTCTTCCCCTCCTCCTCCACCAGCTCCTTTCTCCCCCTCCTTCTCCACCAGCTTCTTCCCTCCTCCTTCTCCCCCTCCTCCACGTAGCGCCATCTGGCGGTGACGTTTGCAAGTTCATTTACGACGCTAAACCTGATGTTTACCCGTTCCGGTATACCGGACCGTACCCAGGGTACGTTCCGGCAGTACCCTGGGGGACATAGACCCTATGAGCCATACTCATGAGTCATAGCCTCATGATCATCATCGACAAAGGTGATAATACGTTCATAATATAGCAGCAATGGAATTAACAGGTGAACTCAGTGGAAACATTTCTTGCTTTTTGACCTACTACGAAATCGTTTAAAATAGGAATGCCGAAATGGGAATAGTATTAGTAGTAGTACAGTAAATTTTGGCATGTCGGTGTCTACGTGTAGACCGAGTCCATCTCATTGTCTAAACAAATACTACCTCAGTCGGCAGTAAACGTGACGCTGTAGCATTTGCCAACTGTATACAGCTTTCCTTTTGTTTTCCTGATAACGGAGCCTTTCCTTCAGTTTTAGATGTCCAACTTGAAAGTTTATCCATCAAAACATTTGCGGTAACTTGTGAACTTTGGTTTGATGTGGCGTCAGCCATGTTGGAAATTACGATCTTAACGCCATCTATCAATCGCGTGCAGCGGTAGGACCTGAAGCCAAAGGTAAACATTGCACTCGGTGTAGGTCAGTAAATTATAAATAAATTATAATCATAAGGACATAATGTACAACGACTGCCAGTACTGGGTTAATCGTTCTTGGTATAAACCCATATAACGCATAATTCGTAATGTTTTGTACCATTACATCGATGATTATCGTGCAAAATCTGATAAAACAGAGCACAGGGACTTGAGGCGGAAAAAAAAAGAAAGTGTTATATATATAAATAGGGGAACATAAATATATTAATTATAATAATATATATATATATATATATATATATAATTATAAATATATATAATATACCCATATTTATATATATAACACTTTTTTTTTCGCCTCAACTGTCCCTGTGAAACAGAGCAAGGCAATAATTGAAATTTACAACATTCCTAAACCCGTTAGCAGTCAATGAAGCTGTGCGGTTCACTGGCAGCAAGAACAAGTCCGCACCTGCAGCTACAGCACACACGTGGCCATCGACTATATATAACAACGTTGTTATTAGCTCATCTGACAGAGTCAGATGCAGCTTGTAGAATCGCATGATCGTGCGTGCGTGCGTGCGTCTGTCCGTGCGTCCGTGCGTCCGTCCGTCAACAGTTGGGCACAAATCTTGAATCTTAACCGCACGACGTACGGTCACGATATTCGGGACGTTGGGGGGGATCGTCAAAACGAGTTGGGATGTCGAAGCTGGGGTAAACCGACTTATTCCGGAATATGCAGCTTTTGAGATAAAGCGTTCCGGGTAAGGGGCCCAGTCGGGGATAAGCGGTCAGGGGCCTGTCTGAAGAGCAAAGATTTTTTTTTAAATTTTAAATTTTATTTTTTAATTAAAATAACCATAATAATCTAGAGATATCTGAACCTATATATCCGGATTAAATATGCACTTAGGAACTTATTTTTATAAAAATCTCATTTTTGTCCAGGTAGGCCATTTTCAGCATTGACATGTATGCGTGCTCATTACTCAAAACAATGACTTGCGACTTAGTCCGTATTATGCTGGAGCGGGTCACATATAATAAGGCTTCAAGTGCCTGTGGTATACGTATAAGTGCAGCTACGTATGACATCGATAATGGTTTAGCAAATCAATTGTCATATCAAATGACTCGACTTTACGTTGCAATAAATTATATAAAATGTTAAAAAATATCCGTACGTAATTCAATATTACTAAAAATGTATTAATATTTCATTAATATTTCGACCATTTTATCGCAGGCACGTCTCACGTCCGACGCGGCAAGCGAACACGGCCGGATCTTAAATTCCGCGCGGTTGCCATGGTTACCTTCGACGGCTGCACGAGCTGGGTGGCTGCACGCAGTAAGTGAACGACGTGGGTCTTGATGAGGTACAGAGCCTTGGAGAGACACAGCTTGAACTTGGTCAGATACAGACTCGATTCCTTCACTTGGGGCTGCAAATGGAGGCGCGAAGATAACAACTTAGCTAGTATTACAGACGGTAGTACTTAGTACGTAGTCAGTATTACAGTATTACGTGTGCCTATTTTTCGTTTTTTGGCTTTGTTCATGTTACTGTCGTTTTCAGTTTGGCACGTTAAATTTCGCGCGTTTAGCGCACACGTCGGCTCGGTCAGTAGGTGGGTGTTTCGCACGTTTACTGCATGCGGGTTGGACGGTGCGTTGGCGCGGTCCGTGGGGGTAACGTACGTTTGCTGTGATGTAGGCGATGCACTCGTCCAGTCTTGACAGCATCGGTATGAACGATTCCCTCGTCACCGTCAGCGTCGGCGAGCCGAGCTTCTGCAAGAACAATCGGAGCATTCACGATCGGAAAACACGCGGCCGAACGATTGTAACGAAGTGTTCCCCGCCTGCTTGATGAGTCAAACTATTATCGATTCGTCCATCAAATTACAAAACAAACTTTTAAACATGTCAGAAGCAGCTGGCAGCATATTTAACTTAATCCGGTCCACATAAGAATAAGGAAATTTAACTATATAATATTAATAACTATACATGTATGTCGTATATGTAAATATAAATATATATATATTCTGTGAAGCTAGCATGAGATTCTGTTACCTGTGATATGCTCTCCAGCTCATTGAAATAAGCGAGTTTGCTGTTGACTGTCTCTACAGTGTGCACAAGCTTCGTCTGAAAAATAATGACAAATAACGTCGAACCCACGCTAAGCCTGCTGCTAATACTAATAGTAATAATAATAACTACATACTATAACTACTAATACTAATAGTATAATAATAGTATAGTACTAGTAGCTGTAGTAGTAGTAATCTATTACTATGGTATAGAAATACTATAATAATATATTACTATACTATAATACTACTAATGCTCGCTATATACAATACCAGGGGTAGAAATTAACAAGGTAGTCCAACTACCCTACCCTCAAAAAGAAGGAGTCCGTCTGAGGTTCAAAATTAAAGATATCAATAACGCATGTGCTTATTTTTAAGATTCATGCAGTTGCACGTCTGCCAAATTTTCTTTGGACATTAGCTGAAAAAATACGGTAATTCCGCGAGGCCGTGCTCCGGAACGAACTAGTTAGTATGGCAGAATTTTCAGGGGGTCACACGGAATCCTGCATATGTCAAATCAGGGAGTCTAACAGTAAATCAGGGAGTATTTGACTCCGGACTCCCGTTAATTTCGCACCCTGCAATACTATGATAAATCGTAGTATATACTGTTGCGATCACATGGTAATCATTGTTATGATAGAATGTTCTAAACAACAATGCTTGGAAACAAAGTATCGACATATCGACGTGTGCGAGTGAAAACCACTAATACACCGATTCAGCTTGACCTACGATGATGGCATCCGAGGTCGGGCGCCGTCATCGCCGCGGGTGTTCTATTGTTTTACCTGGTCGGCGAGCAGCTGTTCGCACGCCTCGTGCAGTGCGTTGGTCTTCGTCGACACGAACACGTACTGACTGTTGAGCTGCTTGAGGAAGAGCAGAGCGCCCTCTACATCAGCGAGAACGCCGCCGCAGTGTTCGCGATACTCCTCCAGCTGCTGCTGGTACGACCTGACGTCACGCGACAAACGCACGCAATATATTCGTCACACGTACAAACTGGATTAACTATATATATTTAAATAATATAGATATATATATACAATTAAAATATACTATAAATATATAGATATTTGCATTGATACATTTGGCATATTTTTGCATGGCAAAGGTTATTTTCGCACATTTGGCAGCTATGTGTTAGTCGTGGCATTACGTTAAAACCTTACGCGTGTCGTACGTGTCGGGTTGTGAAAAATCATGTGATTGGTCGGGTGGTGAACGAGTTCCAGCAGCATTAGTCAGGGCTAGAGTTTGAAACACATATTAGGGCAAGGCAAATGTTAATTACCTATAGTGTGCATCTTCTTCCTTGTCCATCTCAGCCTCCACATCCGCAAACCAATTAAAAAACTGCCAAAATAATTGATACGATTATTTAACATGCATTACGTAAAACAGTACTATTCTATATAATGTAATAAATCTGTTCAATTACTGAACATATATTTAACAAACAAAGTTCAATCATATCATATGTAAAGAAGAACACATTGATGGATCATGATTTTTGATGTTGAATCATAGTATTTTTTGTAATTAGTTAGCATACTAATCGACATTAACGATGAGCTAGTACAAACCTGCTGAGCATTTTCAATTTTTTGTTTCTGTTTTTCAAGTCCGGCAAAAGTTCCTGAGTAGTTCCTCTCTCTCCCATCAGGCAATGCCATAACAGGGTGTAGTGAATCATCTTTGGGCAACTAAATATAATCAAGGCTTGCATTGGTTACTATATTGGTAATTGTCGGTAATATTTCAAGAAGACAATTTAACACCACGATGTTCGAAAGGTACAATACGATAACTGACTACAATTAACTACAATATAGTATCATTCTTCACTGGCCACAGGGGAGAACAGCAGGACCAGTCTAGCTTATAAGTAAAAGACCTGGTAAGTGGACAGGATCAGCTACAAATTTTTGCTACTATATGTACCTTAGCAAACAGTGGCTACAAACAATGAACCATTTGCTCTCATATATAACGTATAAGAGCAGAAAATTGCTATATTAGTAGGGGTGAGCAGCGTGAGAAACTAGCGGTCGCCCAGTCGCCAGTGGCGATTAGAAAATTGACCGGGCGACTGCTTGCTGGTGTCAGCTGGTCCGGCGGGGCGACTAGATAATCGCCGCACACGCAACGCATCAACGCATGATTCGCCACACGTACAAAAACTCGCGACAGTCTAAGAAATCGATTGCTACATCGCCGGCAGCCCAGAGTTTTTATGACCACATAACAATAAGTTTTTATATCGCAGGGGTTTTATCGTGGGTGAGAGAGACGAACAGGAAATGCACCAGCGTAATCAGTTCTGACTTTAGAAGTATTATTTGTTTAGGCAACTTGTGACTTTCGGGATGTGCGGCAGCATTGATTTAGCATGGGGGTACCTGGATGGGGAGGAAAAAACGAAGTAAAACCTTGCTCAGAGCTCCCGGATTCTAGGTTCGTCGTTTTTTAATATTACGTTATCCCAAGTAACTAAACAGCTTGAAGTTCTGACTTGCTCAGTCGATGTAAAAGAAGTTGAAGATGAATGGATGAAGTAGAAAAGAATTTGAATACCATACCATCGACTTACCTGCATTATAATTCTTGATTGCCTGTCTTTTGTCTGTTACCTGGACTATGTGTACTGTGTATGCATTCTGTCTGTCTTGAATGAAATTGAATAGATGTGATTGGTTTCTTAGTCGAGTGAATGGATAAAAATGTGAGTGAATGTGAATTGTTGAGATTCTTACATGAGTAGTTCTACTGGTGTAGCTCAAGAACGGTTTGCTTAGGGTTGTTATATTGCGTTAGCACAGCGTGGTTGGTAATCTGGTGCAGGGGCTGATGCTGATGATATATTGGTCCAGGTGAGTGCATCATTATGCAAGTTTCAACAAACTCTGCTCGAAAAGTAGCTAAATAGCTCCGTAAAAAAAGTTTATTTTTAGGCTGCCGCCAGGAATAAAAATTATTACAGAACTTTTCTTTTGTTATTTTCTACTAACTGTCTACATTAATTCTAATGAAATGATGGTAATTTAATAATATAGACTCAAAATAGTCAATTCCGAAGCTAAAGTCCATCGAAGTACCCAAACTCTCCATGTTTTTTGTGTTCGTTCTAGGTCTGCTGTTTTAACTCTGCTAATTCTAAACTGGGATCCCGACCAATACTGAATCAGCGTCGCGTTCAACAAATATGTAATTTTGCATGATAATAGGATAGGATGGCCGGTCTTCAGAGACCCTGATCTTTAAATCGACTTGCGGACTTGTTCCGATTTTAATACGCATCAGTGTTCAAACGTGTAAAAAATATAAGGTTTATATACTTAGAATGACGATCACAAATTGCCCATCCCCCCCTATAATAACGTCCCAATCCGAGTCATTCATTTGCTTTTGACAGAAACATCCTGGATCGGACCCTCGATAATGCCAGGTCAGTGCTTCCTCGAGCCATGGTCCTGCTTGGACAGTGCACTCCATTATCAGTTTATAACCCAAGTGACAAATTATATATATATGAAACCTATAAAAAATCGTTAAATTTGGACTGGCTGGCTTTTCAGACGTGTTGCCAAGACTATGGCACCTGTCGATAGAAGTGCATTTCTGGGATTTTTTCGCCAGTGATTAAAAGAAACCCCGTATAGAATGAAACTGATTATAAAGGAGCTTTTCATGCAAGTTTCGTTTTTTTCCCTATACTGAATTTTTTTTACCGTACTAAAATCTAATACTAACTCTACTTTTTCCCTACTAACTGGCAGTTATAGTGATTCCGCGCTTGCTAGAACGCTTATTCGTTGAAGATAAGGGCACTTCTCAGGTACTTGTATAAAATTTATATACGATTTTGTCGCAAATTGATTTTAATGGCATGCCGACACCAGTGTCACCTACATTTTTCGACGCACGATCCACTGCCGTCTACAAATACTGGTGAAGCCACGGATCACTACAGTACCTTCTAGTATACCTTTCACACTGTTAATGCCGTCGGTTCTTTTTAGTTATTCTCCGAGTCTTTGTTGGTAAGTGTGGATGTAGCTTACAATTGTATGTGGAATCGAAAAATCGACGATGGTATGTTATAAGCATTTGTGATGGTGAAGAGTTCAATGAATTACTAAAGCTTTGGAAATTTTGAAGACTCGTCTGCTACTGCATACTCTCTCTCGCTTCTTCTCGCTCTCTCTCTCTCTTCAGTGATCTAGCTTGTCGTCTCTCTCTCTCTCTCTCTCTCGTCTTCTCTCCTCGAAAACTGTTCCGCATTTTGTCTGTTATCTGTCTCTATCTTATTGCGCTCTTTCTCGCTCTTCTCGCTCTCTCGCTCTCTCTCTCACCTTTCGCTCGCTACTCCTGGTTCTCGTCTGCTTGGGTCATACTCGTCGCACCACAAGTGTCCGCGCTTCTCTCGTGCGTGCAGACAAGGACTTGTTCTGAGGCTGCATTTATTTTCATAATTACATTAACTAATGTATTGCCGCGCCTGTTTGGGAACATCCCTTATCTGATTTAATTTAAATAACAAAAAGAACATCGGCGTTATATCATGCCTTCCAGAAACGGTTCTGCAGCAGGGAATTTAAACCCAAATGTTCAAGAAATTTTCAGCATTCGACAGCTCCCCCATAGTATATAATATTATATTTAATATATATAAAGGACCGAAAATGCTATGATAGTTATCCTCACGGAGAGAGTCTATACGTCACAGCTGTGATGTATTTTTCACCGCTTGGTGGAGCAAGGACGGGGGGGTCAAACAAAACTTTTTGGCGAACGACGTGGTTTGCGGCAGGAAAGAGCTTACAAAACCACAGCTGCCACGCACCGAATCAGTTCGCAAGAGTAATTCATATTCGCGCATGTCATGGTAGTGTATTAGACGCCGAGTGAGTTGTGATGCAAATAGAGCATGAGGCGCGCGTATGCGTGCTGATGTACTCATTCATATAGACACGCTGACATTCGACATGTCGCATTAAGTGCGCTAGTCTCAGCGTACATTTTGTCTGTGATGTTCGTAAATATGTTCACTATTCTGTAATACGTTTAAAATGCTGACACTATCATGTGGTATGCGTAAATATTTACATTCTCCTCCAATATGATGAATTATTTCTGTGATACCTTGCATCAATGAAAAAAAAACTGCGTTTTTTTTCTTTCGGATGCATACCTGGTAAGACTTGTCGCGGTTTCGATTTCTACCTGCTAACTCATGATATTGTAAGTTAATGTGTCCCTTGATTACGTATACACATCGTGACATTCGTGTGATGTGTTCCCAACCGCAGTGGGTTATATTCGCTGTTAGCGTAGAGGCGTGGTTCTGGGGGTGGGTTCTCTTATACGCCTTCCATCCCCGAGTGTGAGGTTGACTTCGACTTCGCGGTGTAGGTAGGATATAAAATCGAGAAGCAGGGTACACAGAGAGAGAGAGTGTATCAATAGTTTGGATATCGGTCGGTGTTCGATCGGTGCGGTGCCATTTAATCTGATTAGCCGCGACGGCAGCAGCCATCATTATGCATACTGCACGCTGATATCGCGTATGGGCTACGAGGGTGTTTCTACCTTTTTATTAGCCTAAAAAGACGCGCTACTGGGTGTGTTATCGCTAATGAGCTAAAAATCGACACGTGCGTGTAGGCACGCATTTCATCAATTATTTTTTTGTTATTTCATTATACTTGTATACACAATACTTGTTTTATCAGTTTGTAACAGCCATTAAGACTTCAAAGTCAAATCAATGCATTCACGTCGCTATCACTTGGTGTGGATTTTGGATTTTGGTGCTAATATAAACATTTTTTTTGCGATACACAATATATTCGATCCGCTGGTTTAATGAGTCGGTCGGTTCGCTGAACAAACATTATCGTGTGTGTGTGTCTTAGCGTGTCTCTTTACTCATTGCCGTTCTCGCTTCGCTTCTTTCTGTGCCTTACACCGCATCCGCGCGTTGTCAATGGCTTCAATCGCCCAGTGGCAGTTGTGGCAGGTGTGTGTCTGTGTGTGTTCTGCGGTGTTGCGTGCGTGCATGACGCCACCCACAGCCCCGTTGACAACTGCTCCGGCCTACTCATTCTGCAAATTATAGGACGCAGATCGACTGGGACGCTGCGCGTACGTGCGTGTATCTGCGAGAGTGTGACATGCCATGGCTATGAGCCCTATACGAGGCACGCGGCTCCCGCGGCTAATTTCTCGAGACTAGTTGCCTCAGTTGCCGGAATCGCAGTGTCGACCCGTAGATCTGGGGCGTCTACGTGCTGTAATCACGGCTGTTCACTTGGTTACTGCGGGGTGGACGAGCACACCTGATTTTAGGTCGTGCATTATAGGCGGCTAAAGAAGTATTAAGCTTTTAGGAAAGGTTAGGACTCGGTTCAGCCTTCAGACGCATGTTACTGTGGCGTTGCTTGACCATAAGGAGTGAATCTCTGTTGCTCCGATCAGGAGAGAAGTAGGAGTGGAGTCGAGTATGATTGAGTATGTGGAGTATGAATATGGGGTGGAGTTGCTTGCAGTGGGCCTGCATGTGGCTAGTGGGTGGTAGTGAGTAGGCGTATGGGCGTAGGAGTAGGGGAGGAGGGGGGAGGAGGAGGGAGGAGAGGAGGAGGAGCGAAGGGTGGGTAGGTGGAGCAGAGGTAAGATTGAGGTGTGGATGTGTAGGTAGCTTTATTAGAAGCAGTTAGAGGTGGGT